GGGGGGGCCCCCCCCCCGCCCCCTCTTCCACACCCAAGCGCCCCTGGAAGGACACCCTGGGCTGAGGCACCGCAATAAACGACCCCTCACCTTATTTCCCGCCTCCTGCGTTTTCATTTTGGGGGGAGAAATGGGGTTAAAAAGGGCGGTTTGGGGGCCAAGATGGCGGCCCCCACGGGGCGGAGGTGCCGTACAACATGGTGGCGCTGCCGGAAGAACATGGCGGCGGCGTTGCCATAACAACATGGCGGCGGTGCTCTAACAACATGGGGATGCCATAAAACATGGTGGTGCCATAACAATATGGCAGCGGCGGTTCCGTACAACATGGAGGCCAGTGTAGCAGCATGGCGGCGGTTCCGTACAACATGGCGGCGGTCGCAACAACAAGGCGGCCACGCTGCCGTACAGCATGGCGGCGCTTCCGGAAGAACATGGCGGCGCTTCCGGAACAAGATGGCGGCGGCCACGTTGCCGTACAACATGGCGGCGCTCGCAATAACATGGCGGCCACATTGCCGTACAACATGGCAGCGCTTCCGGAAGAACATGGCAGCCACGCTAGGGGATGCCATAAAACATGGTGGTGCCATAACAATATGGCAGCGGCGGTTCCGTACAACATGGAGGCCAGTGTAGCAGCATGTCGGCGCTGCCGTACAACATGGCGGTGCCGTAAAACATGGCGACGGTCGCAACAACATGGCAACCACGCTGCCGTACAACATGGCGGCACTTCCGGAAGAACATGGCGGCGCTTCCGGAACAACATGGCGGCGGCGGTGGTGCCGTACAACATGGCGGCGGTCGCAACAACATGGCAGCCACGCTATCTATGGGTCTGGCCCCCCATCTATGGGTCTGGCCCCACATCTATGGGGCAGGAGGGTCCTAGGCACCGAGGAACCCCCCCAAAAAGGGACCAAGATGGCCGCCCTAGCAACCAAGATGGCCGCCCTAGCAACCAAGACGGCGTCCTATCAACCAAGATGGCCGCCCTAGCAATCAATATGGCGCCCTAGCAACCAAGATGGCGTCCTGGCAACCAAGATGGCGTCCAAGCAACCAAGATGGCCGCCCTAACAACCGAGATGGCGCCCTAGCAACCAAGATGGCATCCTAGCTACCAAGATGGCGTCCTAGCAACCAAGATGGCCGCCCTAGCAACCTAGATGGCGCCCTAGCAACCATGATGGCGCCCTAGCAACCAAGATGGCCGCCCTAACAGGCAGCCGTGATTGCTTTCGTTTCCCCCGCACTCGATTTTCTACGACCCCCCACCCGAAGTTTTGGGGCTCCCCAAACACCTCCCTACCCCCTCGGAAAATCGCGTTCCTCACCTTAGGAACTCCCCGGGCACCTGGGACCCCCCACGAAATCGGGGAAACGCAGCCGTATTTTTCGGACCCTCCCGAGACGCACGCGGTTTTGCCGGGGAAGCCGCGAAAGACAAAGACGCCGCCGCGCATGCGCAGCAATGAATCCGGAGCCGCGCGGTTACCACAGCAATTACGGGCAGCCGCTCATGCGCAGTAACCAATTCGAAGCCGCGCGGTCGCCATGGCAAGTATTGGCAGCCGGGCGGCGCCGCGCATGTGCAGTACCTGAATTTGACCACCGGGTGGCGCCAGCGCACTAACCAAGCCCAAGCCGCGCGGTCGCCATGGCGAGTATTGGCAGCCGGGCGGCGCCGCGCATGTGCAGTACCTGAATTTGACCACCGGGTGGCGCCAGCGCACTAACCAAGCCCAAGCCGCGCGGTCGCCATGGCAAGTATTGGCAGCCGGGCGGCGCCGCGCATGTGCAGTACCTGAATTTGACCACCGGGTGGCGCCAGCGCACTAACCAAGCCCAAGCCGCGCGGTCGCCATGGCGAGTATTGGCAGCCGGGCGGCGCCGCGCATGTGCAGTACCTGAATTTGACCACCGGGTGGCGCCAGCGCACTAACCAAGCCCAAGCCGCGCGGTTGCCATGGCGAGTATGGGCAGCCCGGACGAATTTTTACGACACACACACACCCCCGCCCCGAAGTTTTGGGGCTCCCCACACACCTCCCTCCCCTCTCCCCCTCGGAAAAGCGCCTTCCCCTCCTTAGGAACCCCCCCGGGCACCTGGGACCCCCCGGGAAATCGGGGAAACGCATCCGTATTTTCCCGAGTCGCACGCGGTTTCGCGGGGGAAGACGCGAACCACAAAGACGACGCTGCGCATGCGCAGTAACCAATTGGAAGCCGCGCGGTTGCTATGGCGAGTATGGGCAGCCCGGCGGCTGAGCCGGTTGTGTGCCCTGTGGGAGGGGCTCTCCCGTGGGGCGGCGAGCACAGGCCCGGTGACCCCGCTGACCCACGGCCTTTTCCGTCCCTCTCCGCCCCAGGGGTGGCCTGGCGCGCGCCTCCCGCGCTCCCTGGCGACGGGAAGCGGCGCCGGCTCCTCCCGCCAGCGGGCGGACCGTCTCCACCGGCAACGCCGTAACACGGCGGTGCAGCCGCCGGGCCCGCCCGGGGTAAGGGCCGGTGAGTGCCGGGAGGTGCCGTGGCCTGGCGATGCTGAGGGGGCTTGGGAGCTCCCTGTCCCAGGCGCGGTGGCAGCCCGAGCTTTCGGGAGGTGCCCAGGCTCGGGAGCGGGGAGGATGGGGAGCGGGGGAGCCCTTCCCCCGGGGAAGAGAGCCTGTGGGGACGGGGCGGCTCGGGAGCGGAGGGGCTGAGTGGCCTTTCCCGGTGAGGGGCGTGCCGGGGGACGGGACGGGACGGGACGGCGCGGCGGGAGGGCTGCTCGCACACCGCTGCTGAGTAGAAGGGCGAGGGGCGCTGGGGACGCACTGAGGAAGCCCAGCGAAGTGAAAAGCAGGATTTTATGATAATTTTTGCTGTGGTTTGTTGCCTAAACCCGAGGAGCAGCTCACCTACGCGCCCTCCAGCCCGCCTCTCACGGCGCGGCTGTTTCCTGCTGCCCCCCGGCCCCGCCCTTTGCTTTTGCTCATCTGACTTTCTGGTGGAGCTGTGTGGAGTCTCCCGGCAGCTGCGTGTACACGTCATTAACTGCATAAAATCCCTTAACGGATAACTTGCAGAATAGTTCCTAATTCGGTTTGTATAGATGGATAATTGTAACTTCTCTTTGCAGTTATTTTTTACTTTGCTGTTGTCCTACTGTGGCGGTGTGCTCTCCCTGGTTTGCCCCCCCCCCTCCCTCTCGGCTCCTGCCCGGACTTTATGACAATACAGAAATATTATGGGTAATGAAGTCATCCCATAAAATTCATTGTCTTGTAGAGTGACCACAAAATCCAGTCTACATGGTGATCGTCCACCGTGGCAAGATTTTACTGTATCTGACCTGGGACCAGCTAATGGATTGCCGGTAACATATATCAACAAGATGCAAGGTCTGCTGGTAGGCAAGTTTTCCTGCTAAATGAAGCAACTAGAAAAGTAGCAGATACCCACTATAAATGCAGAGTGGGGAATAAATAAGCTAATAGGCAACTGATATGTTTCCTTACGTATATTTACGTATGGACACAGACAATTTCATTAAAATCATGAAACTACATGTAGTTTCTCTGCAGAGATGAATCAGTCTGTGAGCAAATTGGGCAAAACAATAAAGGTAGATCATCTGTTACTACTGCATTTTTCTTTAGAAAAGCAGAAGACAATATATACTCCTTCAAACTCTATGAGGTGGGCTTCAGAGATGGTTAATTTTTCTCTCTCGCTGGTAAATCGCTGGTAAATCTCTTTTGTTTCTTTTACTAAACTCTGCTATTTCTTGTCTTCCTTCCTGTCTCCTCCAAACTAAGCTCTCCTTCCCCTTCCTTTAGGTCACAATCTGAGGGTATACTGAAATTTTCTTTCCCTTTGCATCCCACATTGAAAAGAGTATGCCAGTACCAGAAATTATGTCCTTCTTTGATATACGCTGCCTCCGGTCCTTAGGACTTATATTTTTGTCACAGAACGTTTCATTTCTCATGCTGCATTTAATTTTTTCTTATTTGATCTATAGAGGGTACAAGTGAAGAAAATACAGTCTAAAAAGGTGCAAACCACAGAAGAATGGCTAAGAAAGTACAGTTTAGAATCCTTACAATTGACATTAAAGCATCTGATAAATGAAGGCAATATTTTTTTGTAAGTGCAACACTGCCCTGTCTTTATGTCCTAATTTGTGTCATCTCTCAGTCCTAATTTGTGTGCGTCTCTGATGCTAATTATGTGTAGCATTACAGGAATTCGGGAAATGGTGTTGAAGAGATGGAGTTTACAGAAGAGACCGTTACTGATTTTGAGTCCAGACTTTCTGAGTAAGTATTCATCTTGTTTATGATTTTGGTCTGTAAGTGATTCTGTATCCCCGCACCCTGTGATTACAGGTACTGCCATAAATCTTATTTTTTTATCTCTGGGAACGTCAGAGTATCTCAGCATTGAATCCTTTTTTACTGAAGTTTAGGGTAGGTGATAATTGTATGTCACTATAGCTGAGGTTTTTTTATTTTTTTAATGAAGATGCCTATCAATCAGATTTTGAACTGCAGCAGCTCATTTTAGAAAGGCAGCTAGTGAATGGTTGGGTTTTCACAGGTAATACTGCATATTTGTGGGTTATGTTTACTGTAACTTTGATTAGCGTCAAGTCATGGATCTTGTCATGATATGTGGAAGTTAAAAGTTTTCTAGGTAAATTTTAAATGTATAAAATCAAAGAAACTTAACTTTAGGAAAGCATTTAATGAATAGGTTCAATAAGCTGTGTAGAGTAATAATGGTTTTGCTGGTCTTCACAATACTTGTTAGGCTGTTCTGAGGAGTGCCTCCACTTCAGTGTACCTCACTGTGTCAGTCACGAAGATCCAGAATCTCCAGAAGGTCCACCTGCAGTACTTGGGCCCCGCACAATCGAAGCAAACTCTTCTGCAAATCTGGTTTAAAAAAGAAGTAGCTTTTGTGTTGTGAAAAAGCGAAGAGGTTTTTCCCCCTTTAAAATGTTGATTTAAGCTGTCTGCCAAATTGTAAAATCTTTGCACGTGGTATTAAAAATAAGTTGGCTGAAGTAAAACAATTTTAGAGGACAGCAAGCACTTCGTATTACCTCAGGTTATACCTATTTTGAAATGAAGTTGTTGAAAGTTGCGCTGTGTTTAGTCTGGCATGTCAGTGAGCGGGCTGCCTTCATGAGTGTCTTAAGCCATAGTGCAGTTTGTATTAAATACATCTCCTGACAATAACCTGTGTCTGATGAACTGAACTCGGTTTTGCCTGAGCTTCTGTTCACATATGCATATGGTGAATACCCCTCTCCTCTCTCTGAACAGAATAAGCCAGCAACTGATTAGAAAACATTTCTATGATCCAGATTTTCAGACAGCTGCATATCTAATCAGTCAAACAGCTTTAGGAGAAGAAGTATTTAAATGGTTAACCCTGCAACCGGTAACTGTATGAGAACACTGAAAACAGTGTTTTTAAATCCTGTTTCTAAGTCTCCTGTTCAAGACAAATGCAACTGAAAAGTAAGGAACAAATGTTGATGTTAGAGTTTGTGTAACCAGAGAAGCTATAAAATAGTGGCGTATTACAGTATTTAGCCATTGTATACCATCTAGCTTCACTTCTTTTGTAATTGTTTTCAGGCTGTGCAGCCTCCCTCCGTGCTCTCGAAGCCTTGTTGGTTGCTGTCTGCTCAGAGCAGCTCCTTCCTTGAAAATATAGTTTCTGTCTCCTGCCTATTACCTGCCTGGAAACTCCTGTTCTACCTGCTCCCATCAGTCTTAGGGTTACTTAGTCAGGAAGACATTTTAAGGAGCTGCTTCAGTGGTGATGACCAGACTAATTGAGTGCTCTGTTAATTACTTTTCAATGTTGATCTGTCAGGTATATGTCATTTGCTTTCCTGGTTTATTGTTCCTGGAATGCAATTCACTGTATTCAAGACATAGTAAAAGAGGAGTTTTATAATTTACAGAGATGCATATTTTTGTAAGCTTTTTGTTAGCTTGTTTGTAAGTCATGTCATTGCTGTGACTCACTGAATATGTTGATTTGCATGCAATAAATTGCAGACAAATTGCTAAACCAGTTGCTACCTCGAAGTATGTGTCCTGCCACCTATCAGAAGAGCGCTGGTTTTGCAGCAAGAGTGGGTAACTCCCACGTGGAACAGCTCACGTACTGCCATAATTTACAGTCAAATGACATCTGACTGGCGTAGTGCAAAACAGACCCTCCTCTTCCATCCGCCCTGAGCCACTTTCTGTGCCCTTGTACCTCCTTCAGTGTTTTGAGGTATGAAGACAAACCATGTAGTAGTAATGATGATCTGTACTTCTCTCTTCCAGTGCAATAACCATTAGAAAACCTTTGAATTAAAACCTATTAGCATTGGTCTTCAGTAATCTTTTTTAAACCTGCATATATATAGCTGCTCTGTTTTTCATGTTTTCTCTGTGATTCCTTTGTGTAAGAAGCCATGCTGTCATCCCTGTTCATGATACAGAAGCATGCCTTTATTCAGTACAAGCTAATGCAGTGGTTTTATATATGATGCATTTGTATTCCTTGCCTTCAAATATTGCATAAACTGTCTCCTTTTCTAACAAGACCTAAGAGCTGATATAAGGGCATCTTCATTGTTGGTATTAAAAGTTGATTTGCTTCTTCCTGGAATTCCACCCTGATTTGGCAATGCAGTCTCACTGTTATCATTTCATTTGACCTGTAAATCAGTGTAGCATGCAAAGCAACCATGAATACAAAGGAAATGAGAACAGCGTAACTTGAAAAGCATTTTATATGACACATTCCAAGGCTGTGTTTTGAAGTATCTGTGTGCTTTCTTCCTTCCATGAGGAAACGGTGAAATACACAGAATCACAACAGAAATAAATACACAAAGTCACAAGAGAAAGGAAAGGAGTGAGAATACTTATGTATGCTAATGAAGAAATGTGAGATTTAATAAGAATCTGATCTCTCAGCTTTGCAGCTAGCTATCTGAAGAATATACTAGAAAACCTTGATTTTTCAGACTTTTTAGGAAGAAAAATATGTTTGAAGTATTAGATATTGTTGGGTTTAGAAACATTGTATCGTGATAGCATTAGGAAGGAAAAGCATGGTATGCATTTCTTATGTCCTGTCATTAACCGATGACAGGATGTCAGAAAAACAGAAAAAGCATAGTATAATCTCTACTAAATGTATATTTGTAACTTTCTTCTGTTGTTATATTATACAGAAATGTGTAATTGCATTGCTGTACAGAAAAAATGCCTTTACAAAAGACAAGCTATTGAAATGCATAGTGATGGTGCTTATTATCTTTGCCTAACAAAAAATCAGCAGGAGCCTACTGCCCAAATGATGTTAACTTAGTCCTAGCATAGAGTTGTTTGGGTTTTTTTCTGTATTTGGCATAAAAAATATACCTTTTGTCTAATAACAGGAATAAGGATCTGCATCTTCTTTTCCCTCCGGGCATGGACTTAGAGCATGACATGGGTAAGTTGATTTGCTGCTATATCCTTCTTTTCTAATGTAGCAAGGAATGTGAAGAATGTTGTATTATTGTAAAGTATTTAATATTGCATTTGAATGATGCGTACTTTGGGTATTAAATTACATCTGTTGTTGCGTTAATATTGTGTTGGCAAGTTTTTTTAAGGATGACTTCATTCCTTAGATATATTTGATATGTTTAGCATTTGATTATATGAAACAGAATTATTCTTAAATTTTGTTTCCCAAATTCAGATCACATGATTTCTCTTTTTGAAGCAAAAAATTCCAAGCACAGCAATGTATCATGTTTAGAGGAGAGTTCCATTATTTTCCTCTCTCCATTAATATCGCAAGACCTTCTGATTTAAATGCTTTTTAACATTTTCTGTCATCTCTCGCTTAAAATGTGAATACCATCACCATTGTAACTTCACTTCTCTCCACTCCGTTGTTTTAGACTCAATCCTTGTTACGAGGATGGTTGTTTTTGTAGTCACAAAGAGCTAAGTACCTTTAGTCAAAAGGTACTTACACCGTACAACAGATCTGTCCAGACTTTTTCGGGGTTGCAGAGGATCTGTGGTTTGGTACGCTGTCTGAACGAGTCTCGCCACCCTGAGTTCATATGCTTGTGTCACTGCATATCACTGGGCATCTAAAGGTGAATAAGTGCGCAAGGAGGTGTTCAAACACACAATGAACTTGGGCAACTCTACTAATTTGGGGCTTAGATATAGAATTTTTAATAAGTCAAATGAAGAGAGGACATTTTTATGCTCCAGTTATTTCAGCAAAATCCTGTCCTTGAGATAGATTTAAGAGAGAGCTTTGTCTCTTAAGTTCTTCTGCTGTTCTTCTGCCCTTAGGCACTGCAGAACATCCCATCCTGCCTATGACTCAAGCCAAACATCCGGCTGTCATTTTAACTCAGACCTCTGTCTAGCTCTTCATGCTTTGGTTATGTCTCTGTCAAAGGCTCCTCTCTGCATAGTGTCTTCCACACAATTAAAAACCCTCATTTGGGTTCCTATTACCTCACAGCTGGAGAATTGCTCCCGTTCTGTGGCCTGAGAATGCAGACCTATGGAGTTAATGGGACCTGCTAAATAGAGGGGCAAAGCCCCAGTCTCCTAATATCTATCTCCTGGGCCATGACCTAATACCGTTCTGTCATCCCAGGTCTGGTGCCTATAGAGCTACACGAGGACAAGACTGTCCCTTTGTGTACTGGAGACATGCATTGTCTTGTCTGTGTTACGGCCTGAGCCCTACTCACTCAATTAAAATTTATCTGTGGATCTATCAGCACATGGTTTGAAATCAGCTTGTGTAAACCTACTTTATTCCTCTACGAAACACTGTGATTACATTTCAGCATTGCTTTACAGTCTGGATGTGAGTGACATTTTGATAAGCCGACATAACATTTTGAAATGTGGACCTTCTCTATGTAAATAAACAGGCAAACTCTTTGCTGTTGTATTTTATGCAGTCATCTCCTAGAAGTGCAGGAAGTTTTGTTTATTTCTGTGCGCCTTTGTGAACTGTGAGTGGCTGTAGGAGAAAAAGTAGAAAAAGTAGAAAAGGGTATAGAGTTGTGATTCCAGACCAAAAGCAAGCTTAAACCTTAATGCAGCAGCTTTGCTTACTGTAACTTTAGCTTCAGTTTCTTTCAAAAAGACTCAGCAGGATGCAGTGAATAAAATATGGCCACCCCTCTTCTTCATCTAAGATATGAGAATAAGCATTAACAGGAGAGGTACAAAATGCTAGTTCTGAAAGCTCTTCTAAGGTGTCTCCTTCTGGCTCAAGTGGAACCCGAAGCCAAGTTACATTCTCTTTGCTGGTTTGTCACTCATCTGGAAATCTGAGAAGTACAGATTACCTTGACAGGTTCAAGATTCTGGTACTAATGCAGACTACAGGGACTTATATACATATATGATGTGCTAAAATATATTTGTTTAGGTGTCAGTCTGAGTTCTTGTCAGCACATGAATGTTAATTACATTTAAATTGCAAAGCCACCTATGAACTTGAGATATTTCTAACATGCCAACATTTTAAATTGTAGTCACTTATATAGAGATTTGGGAGTGTTTCTTTAGCATCTTAACTACTGCTTTGAGACCTAATTTTAGACACACCCATTTTAAAATCTTGGCTTTGATTTCTCATTGTTTAATGTGCAAAAGGATATGTGTGTTTTTTGAAGTGCTTTAAAATCTTAGGATCCAAGAACTTCTATAATTATTGATCATTTAATTCATTATTCACTTTGAATGCATTATTTAATAGTAAATCACCTTTTCCTGCTCTGCTGCGTACCAGTTAGTTTGCTGCCTTTGCTTCATTCATCTCGGAAACCAGAGAACAACTCACTCGTCTAAGCCTCTTTGAAAATACATGATTTGGTTGGGGAAGAAGATAGTAAAGTTAGGATGAAGCTGCTAAGTACTGCTGCCAAACAAGATTTTTGATCCTTCTCTTTATCTAAATTTAGATTCAAAACCGCAGGTAGGAGAATGTGTTTCCATTCCCTCTGCTGATAGATGAGATGGATCCTACCAAAGTTTAACACAACTGAGAGAGGTCCACTTTTAAACGTTAGCGTTAAGAATTTCTTTCCTGTTTTTCTTCAGTAAAGAACCCTTTTCTCCATACTTTTTAATAACAGTGTGAGATGTCTTAATAATCTAGCACAGTTTGTCTACAGAATGATGGTACCGGTGATATATTTGTGTTGTTTAGTGTCTTTGTCAATACTTTTACCAAGTAACAGTAAGAGATACCATTCTATTTAGAAGGGTCTAATGTGGAGAAAATAATTCATTTTTTCCTGAAAAGGAACGTAAATTATGTACAAATTAAGCCCTGCCCTTTTTTGGCTCCCAGCCCAGCCACCAGCTACAAAGGGGCAGGAACAGCAAAAGGGGCTGAGCACATGAGAACGTCTGTTTGTCTGAGAGGACCGGATGCCCTTGTGTCACTGATTGCCCAGCAGAGAAAAGTCTCACCATATTACGTGGACAGGAAGGACTGGGAGAACGCTGGCATCCAGGATTCTACTAAGGGTACTTAATACTTCTTTAGCTATTTTAAAAAACTTTAAATGTTTGACTCTAACTTTTTATGGGAAGTAATTTCTGCATTTCTAATACTTGAAATGACAGTAGGGGAGCTAAGAGCAACTCAAACCGCATGCACTGCTTAAGATGTAACTTGCGCTCATTGTGCAAAACACATTGATAAATCAGAACAGCCCCTATAAATTTAGAGAAACAAGGAAATTGTTTACATTCAAGAATTTGTTATTTTTTTTCCTAATTCCATGAAGCAGATTAAAATATCAGTGCTATTAGTGCTTTTTAAGAAAGACATTTCTAGCAAAATCTTCAAACTTTTTTGTACAACCTCCAGCTTACTTAGAATATAAGGAGATATTAATGGCAAGTATTGAAATATATGCCATTTTTCCAAGATGTCTTTTTATGGTATATGTGACAAGCTTGACTTTACTTCTCCTTACAGTGTGTAAAAAGGTGCTTTTTCAAAGAAGTCAAGGCAAAAGAATTTTATATGGCTTAAAAGTACTGTGTAGCATAATACAGAGATGCAAATTTAAATTTCCTTGATTGAACAGGAGAAGCATACTTGGTTTAGTTTTATTATATTAGTTCTAATTTAAATTTTGTTTTGAAAATGAGGATTATTTTTAATTTTTGAAATGTCAGGATATTCTTTAACATAAGGAGCCCATATTTTCTTCTGCATTATGCCACTCTGTTCATTGAATTTGGTGAGCTGACATTGGTGTTAAAACAGTGTAACAGCATGGAGAATCTGGTACTTACTTTCCCATGTCTTAAATCTGAAAAACAATGCATAAAATAATTTTTTGTAATTTTATGATATTTCTCTTAACTAGGCAACAGCAAAAGTAGTCTGTAACTTTGTGTACCGTGGACTGCACTTTCTGTTGCTTCTCTAGTATTTTTTGTCACCCTGGAAGTGATGCAGCTGCCAGTTACCAGTCATGCCCAGTTTCTGCATAATCTCTGCTCAACCCTGGTGTAAATGACTGAGAGCAAACTATGCTTAAGTGTCTGTGCCCAGCTGGTGGAAGGTGATGCACTCTCATGTGTGGGGATGTTGCTGTGAGGACCCACTCCAACTATGAGAAAACCGTAATAATCTGGAGGAACTGGATGTATATTCCTATATTATACTGGCAGGCACCCAGTTGGGCTCTTGCTTTACAGTGACTTTATTCGTATGCGTTTATTCTGGATTTCTATTTGGGGACATAAGAGCCTGGATCCTAATGTGCAAATGCCATGCAAGGAATCAGGTCAATAGGGGCTGTCTGTGGGGAAAATTAACTTGACTGATTTCTTGGAGCACATTGTGATCTGGAATATGTGTCATTTTAATTGCAGAATATAAGGGAATTTCTAAAGAAAAGTGATTATTGTAGAATAAACTCAATTTTAACACAGAACAAAGAGTACAGAAGGGTAACTCCTGCGGAATTGCTTATCACAGAATGATATTCTCTGCAGCTTTCCCACACAGATGAACCCACAGGGCAGATGGCTTATGCTTTCTGTTCCTTGTCAGTTTAGCTACTGTATATGAATGCCCTTATGAGGACAATAAGGACAAAAGTTACTAAGTACTGGACAGAAAACTAAATATATTTAGTATATAACCAGAAAAGATTTAAGTGGTAACAAATCTTCATCATTACTGACAAACTGTGACCCAACTGTGAAATAAAGTTAATTGTAAAAGCAGAATCAATCCTTTCTTATATTTCTTATCTATTTTTTTCCTGACTAGTAGGCTAACAATGCTATTTGGCATTAATATATCAGAAGTGAGTGAGTTTTCAGGGATAAAATGTTTGATATACCAAATATTCAAAAATGTAATCATACCTGTTAAGGTTAGGTCATTACAATGGCTCTAAAATCTAGTAATTTCTCATCATTTCTACATAATATGAAACTTGAGGCTATTCCAATGTTCCAAAACATTGGAATATTGAAGCATTCAGACTCGTTACTTGTACATAGAAAACCCATCACCAAAATTATGAATTTATACACTTTAAACATGTTAAAATAATGAAAGCATATAGGAAAAAATAGTATAATCACAAAAGGAGCATTGCAACGTGAAATTTACTGAAAGTACCCAGACCTCAGAGTATTATGCAGGAATTTTCAAGAGTTCTTCTGTCTTGTAGCCGTGATGCAAGAAGGATCTTCAGAAGAGCTCCACAGCAGCCAACTGTGTGAGAGCAAAGTAAATGAACATGCTGGGCCACTGGTTAACGGAGGCAGAAGGACGGTGGTGACAGGAGGTGGAGGCTACCTGGGATACCATCTGGGATGTGCTCTTGTCAGGTCAGGAATTGCTGTTGTTCTGTTTGATGTACAGAAACCTAAATGGGAAATTCCAAACGGAGCAGATTTTTTCAAGGTATGTTGAAATGATACATTTAACAGCAGTGAAAAAAAGTTGTGTGCATTAGCAAGGCTTCCTCTTAAGGATTTTTGGTAAAAGCATTAACTGGAATGTCTTTAAGTACAATAAGAAGTCATTGGTAAAGGTCCTCAAATGTATAAGTACCTAATGAAGAGGCAGCAAACGGGATTCCAAGTGGTCAGTTCTCTCAGTGTTACCAGTGAAGTTCTGAAGAGTCATGTGTTGGGAGGTGCCATTGAACACATTCATAGCTCACCTAGCCGACGGAGGGAACAATGAAGTGACAAAGTTTACTGCTATGGGAAATAATTTCAAGTAAAAAGGTGACAGAAAGACGGGGCAATAAAAGTGATCACAAATGTAGAATGACTACCAGACAGAGAATGATTGAGGAAACGCAGAGTTTCCAGTCTGGAAAAGAGATTACTTGGGAGCAGGAGAGCTCCCACTGTGGATGCTATGGAGACAGACAAGGAAGGATTGACTGTCCTTTCCAGTACAAGAAGGAAGGGCCATCAGGTGAAATGAGGAGTTGTGAGCTCAATACAAATAAAAAGTTGTTATTTTTTAATGGAGTGGGTAAAAGGCATGTACAAAGTCTTGCAAAAACCTTACTTCCACTGGAGATCACTAAATAGGTAAGCTAAATTAGGCTCAATAAAACTTCTGAATGAATATACTTGGAGACTGGAAAAGCATTCTGGAGGAAAGTGTCACATATACCTCCCCTGTTCCTGCTCTTCCCAGGGCACCCATTTATAAGCACTGATTCCTTTTGATTCTTAACAATTCAAGAAATTCATTATGCCTGCAAAAGAGGTGGAATAAGAGAGACTGCAAATATTTAATGGCTCACAGCCATCTGTGGAGGACAACATGCCCCCTGGTTGGGAGGTATGGGGACCACCAGCTTCTCACAGCTGCTTTGTCCATCAGCTTTGGGTTCTGGGTACACAGGGGGTACTGGCAGTTTGTGTGTGCTCCCTTTGTCTTGCACAAGGTCTAGCTGGACATTGGGTATCATTCAGCTGACCTTTTCTAAGAACTCTTGAACACCACCAATCGAACTAGAAAGTTGATGGCAAAGCTGAAAATGATCACAGGATCCTTGTTCCAGGAGCTACTGAGGTGATGACAGATTTTCTCCTTTGGACTGAATTGCAGTGTGGAACAGATGTAAGGGGTGGCAAAGGGGATGGACCATACTGTGAAGTGGGCAGATAGCGAGCTAAGCAGACTTTTTGTCTGACTCAGGATGGTTGTTCTTTTGTTCAGTTTCATAAACAGCTTTTACAGAATATGGGGGAGAGTGAGAAAGTGTTATTGAGGAACCAGTCAAAAATGATAGGCTTGATTTGTTAATGATATAAATCCACATAATTTGATTTAAGTTGGTGGATTGATGGCAGTTTACATCTTCTAAAGGAGACTCAAGAGATCTGACAATCAATCTGAGAACAGGGCTTTTTATATGAAGTATAGCTGAATTACCTATGAAATGGAACTATGGAGTCCTAGTAAATAAAATAATAAGTCACTTCAGAGCCTTGATTGGTGATTTGGAGATTGCTAATGTTGTTTATACTGGTTAGCTACTTTAGTATTTGATTGAAGGTAAGAAGTGTAAGTCAGACATATTTGTGAAATACTTTGGCAACCTCAGAAGAAAAAAGTTGAGAGTTGAAAACTGATTAGTTTACCTCTTAATATTGCCTCCAGCCATTTCTTTTGTGATTATCTCTCAAGTTTCATTACAGTAAATGAAATAATCTCAAATATTTTGAAATATTATAATTCTGAAAAGTGTTATATTTTTATTGGCATCTGTATGCATGTGGAGTATTATTCACATAGTATTGCCTGGTGTACAAAAATGCAATATAATATTCAAAGCACAGCATAGCATTTCATACTAGATATAGTGCCTGTGTATTTAATATAGTACAGTATTCAGCACTATATAGCATTTCATAAAATGTGATTGGAATACACTAATGTATACTAATACAGTGTCAAATGCATATAATGTGTACTCTTAATCTTGTACAAAACGGTAATTAAATTTATCATTCAGTAAACCTTAGCTGGGCAAAGAGACATTTGTCCAGATTGCACAAATCAGATCTCAAGGTGCGAACAGAAACGGAGTTCTCTTATTTGGTTATTCCACGGCAAACAGCTGAACCCTTCCTGCTGTGATTCTCCAGCCCTTAAGTACGTGCTGCTCCCATTCAAGTCAAACAAGTTTTGCCAGCCTGCAGGTTGAAGGACTAAGTGTGAAAATATGTATTATAATGGAAGCTAACAAGAGTCATATTTGTTTTGCAACAAAATACTAACAAAAATCTTAGTCATGGATATTTCTCCATGTTTATGTTTTGTTTAATGCTAGTTAAGTATTGTGAAAAATAGATCAGAATCACTTCACATTTTCATTAATAGCCATATAGATACTAATTCTGTAGAGAATGTAATGAGCTCTATTAGTCTTTTCTCATTTTATAGGGTGATGTGAGGGATTATGATGCAGTGTTCAAAGCGTGTGAAGGAGTTGACTGTGTTTTTCATGCAGCTGCATGTGGAATGTCAGGATTAGAACAAGCAAGTACAATTTTACTAATGTTTTCTTTCTTTATTCCTGTGGAAGCAAAAACTTGTCTGCATGTAGCAAAGAATACAAGTATAGGAACGTATAATGTATGTCAGACAGAAGTTAGTTATAAAGGTCAGGTCATCCATACAGGCAACAAGAGAGGTATTCCTAAAATAATAAATGTCAAAGCATGCAACTAATGTACTACACAAAGTGCTCTAGAAAAATGAGATCATAGATTTAAGATCTCAGATAAGGAGGCCTATTCTTTTTCTCTAATCTGAAGAAGTGGGACAATATTGCTCTAGAATTAATGTTGATGCATTTTCTTCTTCTGAACTCATAGTCATGAGGATACAGACTAGGAACTCAATATAGTTACACTAAATAACAGTGATATTCACAGAGGGTGTTACCAAAAAAAATCATGAAACGACTAATTTATTTCTAGGAACAAGACAGATTGCCACTGGAACAAGAATTTGTAAAACCTTTCAGGGAGTATAACCTCTGTTTGTAAAGCCTGATTGTATATCATGGATTATCTGGGGTGTGACAAAAAAAAGGTGAAGCATTATAATTTCGTTTCAGATGCATTTTATCTTTCATTTTTCAACTTTATGTATTCATACACTGAACAATACAATAAAAATGAGAACTGCTAGGAGTCACTGTATGTCAGAAGAACAGAGAACTAACACATACATCACAAAAAGACCACAGCTCTTCTGGATCTGGCAATTGTAACAATTGTATTGTGAATGTGACTTACTCCATTAATTAGGTATTGTGCAAACTCTATTTCTAGATTCAAAAGAAAGACCAGATAGAATCCATCAATGTCGGAGGCACAAAAATAATAATTGATGGTATGTACCTTGATGTTCTTTCTATGCATCTGATCCAAACCGTGAATTAAAAAACTCTCAATTGGGTGTTTCCTGTGTTGATTTGGCAGTAAAATGAGGCTCTTCTCTCCCTCCTTTCAGAGTACGATGTAAAGCCAGGTGTTCAGGTCCCATTAAAACTGGTAGGAGATCTGCCACTGATTTGAATTGGGGATAGGTTTTCAACCTGGACTTCATTCCTTGGCAGACCAACTTAAGCTCTCCTCCATGTACTGGTTATCTTTCTCTTTATGTAACGGAGAAGTATTATCCTCTTTCCTCATAGAAATAACATGAGAGATACTGTACTGTTTGTTGTGTTGCAAACATTTGGTAACAGGAGTCGTAGATGTCCTAAGTATATTTAGCTATTATTTTATCACCTTAATATAGAAAATCTTCTTTCTGATCATCTATCAAAATGTCATCTCTTTTTATTATATACTGAGTTTTTACTACTGTCTCTGGAAATTATTAGTAGATTTCTTTCTGCATATTCTGTTTTAGAAAGAACATTTCAAAGTTCTCTGTAAATACCAAAGCTGCTTATTCTTTGTTTTTCCCTCAAAATCTAAAGAGCAAAAAAGATCAAAAAGCAAAATGGCAAAAGCAGTTTTAATTTAGACCCATTTTCAGGCTGCCTGTGGATTACCGTGGATTATTACTGAAAAAAGTATGAATAATTAGAGTGACATGGTAGGCAAGTAAAACTCTGAATGACTTAGAGGGAAGAGGTTGCCACATATTCCCTTCTTCTTACTCCGACCTCTGAACCCACATAAATATGTCATGTCAAATTTCCATAGGCTCCCAACAAAGCAAGAGTCTTGGGAGAAGCATGAGCTTGTTAATCTACATTTTAATAATGGATACTATTATTTTATTTTGTTCCAAATATTTGCAACATGGTAATTACATTCATTATTTTCAAAATGAGCCATTGAGCCAACTGGACTGACTGCTCTGGAGATTCTAAAAATTCCTGACTTTGAATATTAATTCACTTAAACTTTAGAAGCATTGTTAGATCAAAAGAAAATGTACGTTATTCAAGTTAGGCATGATACATATGCAGCAGAATTTAGTCACAATATTTTACCACCTGACTGGAACCTGTAATTAAGACTTTGTTTTGTAAAGAATAATAATTGCATTTGTATTTAAGGTACTATTGATTATGCACTAATAGCATGTGTTTCCTGCTAACATGCCCTTTGTCACTTATTAACAGATTGAGACAAATACAGTTTTGCCACACCAGAGAGAGAGCACATTTTCTTATATGACCTCACTTATCTGCACAGGCATCGGTGAGACTGCGGTGAAAGAAGCGGTAACCGCTCACTGCTGAAAAAGGGCAAAAAGGCAGCTCTCCACAGCACTGCCCCTACAGAAAGAAGCAGAGAGTTTTCAGTACTATTTGATCACAACAATTGTTCTTACTCATCTCCTTTTTATTCAGTTTGTAAAATCAACATGTTTTAGAAATGTTTCTGAAGTAAAGGAGGAAATTTCCCCCCCCAAGATAATTCCTCTGTGCAGCTGATGACTACAGTCCAGTGGTGATATGGTAGTTGCAGGTACCTAATCTTAAAACTTTTGGTGACCACAATACATAATACTTACATAGCAGATATTTGGGCCAAAAAAATCCAGTTAATGTTAAAGTTGTACTTTTTCTATAAGCGTAACTTTTGTTTTCAAAAAGAGAAGCTGCGGGTTCATGTGTTGTTTCTCACTCTATTTTTGTTTTAAAATAATTTATTTTGTATATCGTTGTAGTCTGCAAACAAAGAAATATCCCTAGACTGATATATACCAGTACAGTGAATGTGGTATTTGGAGGAAATCCTATTGAAGAGGGAGATGAAGAAACGGTGCCATATTTTCCACTGGAAAAGGTACTTTGTTCATGTGATAGCATGGCATTTACTGTGCTCTAAAGGGTAGATTACGTGAAGGCTGTTCTGAGAGCAGAAGCTGTTTTACTATCGATAGCATCAAATTCCATGAAATTCTTTTTCATTCGTAAAAATTCACTCATGATCAATAAAGAAATACTCAAACCATAGTGGCTTTAATCTGCTATAACTAGACAGATGTAAGATGATGAAATATCTAAAAATGACTAAGAAAAGTGGAATGTGACATTTAACAAGAATATTTTAAGAGGAAAGGCTTTCAGGGGACCATCCACTATGTAAATACCGAGTATCATGGCCCCTGTGAGCCTTTGTATTGAACTATATTGTTAAATACCAAATCCTACATCTTTATCACACACATTTTTGCTTCTTTGAGGTTCCTAAACCTTGCTGCAGGCCAGGCAGTAGTTACAGTCAGCTCAGGGCTCCTCTGAAATACCATTTCCTTCTTTACTGTGAACATTTAGAAAATATGTTCTGGCTGAACCCTGAAGCCCAGTGCGTTCTGGCCGCTCTTCCCATTTGTTCTTTCCTGCTCCCGGCACACTCCCTGCAGCTAAAAGCTGTCATTTTAGAACGTGCATCCTGTGTCCAGGATTCCTACACAGGAGACCTCCCGAGGCACTGAGTTGGATGTGTCAGTTTGTGACAGCACCTCAGATTCTGAGAAAGCATTTCAGGAATTTGCCATTACTTGCAAACGTCTGAGCCCCTAATCATACGTTTTCTCTGGTGGCAATGGTATAATAGCCAGCAGCAGAGGGCGGTGGGGCATGGAGGGAGGTGGAGCAGGTGGATGAAGCCACCTGAGAGTGGAAAAATTTCCTTGGTAGGATTTTTAGGTATATTTTTCAATATAAAGTATGGCAATACAAAATTCGACAGATACATAAATAGCCTCACTAAACAAGCATGTGCTAACTGTGTCCAGAATCCTTAGTTTAAATAGACTTGGGTGCAATTTTTAGAGAAAATAGTAAAAGATACCATTGGGACAAAATTATTTATAACTTCCCACATAGCTTCAATAAGAAATGGAAACATTTTTAGGAAAGTCTGAATTTTTAATTTCATATACAACTTACTGTTCTAAAAAACTTTTTCCATTTCAAAATGGATGTTTTTTCAAAATAAAATTATCTGACCCACCAGAACATTTGGCTTGATATTAATTATTTCAGTACATCCAGCACAAAAAGTGAGTAAAGTCAATACTAGTGGACTTAAATTCGCTCTGAATCTAAACTTGTGCAGCTAAAATGCAAGTCTGATAAGTTTCTTTGTCATAAACAAAGTTATGGTTTTTACTATGTCTTGTTGTTATTTCTAGTTTGGTTTTACTGCTCTGGTGTCTACAAACTGGGTAGATTAAACAGTTATCAGATATAAACAGTAAGTTTGCCTTTACAGATGCAATAACGTGATTAAAATGTTGATCATATTCTGCCTTTCTTTATAGCAATTTAATCATTATTCTAGAACAAAGGCAATTGCAGACCAAATGGTTCTTGCTGCTAATGGAACTTTACTCAAAGGTATGTATAAAACGTTTGGGTTTTTCCTATCATTAGTAGTGCTAATAGTTATTCCATTCTCTGGTTTCTCATTTATCAATAAATAGTATACTTTAAATTAGTTGAAAAAAGGATTATTTTGTTTCCACTCCTCCCTTTGGTGGATTATTAATTATTTTATGTGTATAGCCAGATGGATATGAAATTATATGCAAATAATAGACGGGAGAATTCAGAAAATTTAACCTTACTTCTTTACTTCTTCAAATCATCTTAAAAGTTTACCACTTTTACAATAGATAGGGTATTTGTGCTTTTATTCCGCATTCAGTCTATCACTTCAGTATTCTCTGATAATACCAGTCTCTAAGCACTGTCCAGTAGGTCATTCTCATAATCCCCAAAGTCTCACAGGTGTCTGGATAGAATAATTGCAGTTTTGGCAATATCACGGTCATGTTGACTTACACAGTCACACATGCGTGAAGAGCTGCAGCTAAAATTCTGTCTGTATGTAGCAAGAGAGATATTTATCTTTGCCTTTACATACTGTGATTCTGTGATTCCTACTGATTTCTCTGAACTGAAAAGTTGGCCAACGTAAATTCGGTGGGGATTCAATTTTAGCATTACTACTGAGCTAATGCCTACCACCTGTTAACACTTGCTAGCCTGAAAGGTGTAATTGTGCCTGTTCTCAGGAGTCGGAAGAGTCTACTTACTAATTCACATGTAGAGTTTAAAGCAGTAATTTTGATTTAAAGTATTCCAACTCATTTGAAAGCCTCTGTTTAAGAGACCTCTTCTATTCCTTTGTGATGCCATTGAGCTGCAAGCAAGCAAGGTGTCTAAACATAGCAAATGGAATGATCTTCTTCTGGTAGTGCACGTGTCTACAGTGGTGGACAATGTGTATGTTACAAACATATCTATAATAAATAGCAAAAGTCAATCAAGTACGTGGCATATCTGTAGGAAAATTTTATTTGTCCTGGCCTATTCAAGCTGCTCTATGGTCAGAGGGATTCAGTTTTTCAGGCTGCCAAGATAGGGTCTTTGACTACTACTGAATTCAATTTTATACGGAAATGAAAACAAGTTCGTAGGAAGCGGAGTCACATTGACTGGTCAGGCTGATCCTTTACTTTCACAATGTAAAACCCAGACAATATATGCCAGCCATATCAAAGCTATCTGAAAACCCCATTTTGTTCTCTCTCCAAGGAGGTGAGAAGCTCCATACCTGTGTGCTTCGCCCACCAGGCATCTATGGACCAGAAGAGCCGCGCCACCTGCCACGAGTCGCCGTACGTGTTCTGTAGTCAGCTCTGGAGGACACTGCAGTAGTTGTAAGGGCATAGCACAAGTGCAAGTATCATGATTGCAGTTCTTAACGATTCCTCCAGGAAGACTGTTGGGAAAGCTTGGTGACAGGTCATATGATGCAAGAAAACAAGTAGCATGACATGAGCACTGCAGAAATGGCAAGAATCGAGCTGCACATTTAAGTGAAAAGAAAAAGCTGCAAGACTGAAATGTCACGGTAGAACTAGGTTTGCATCCCTGATATTGTCTTTCAAATATGCACTTTAATTTCAGCCAAACAGTATAATGTCACCATATTTTACCACTGTGTATGAGTGCAACAGTCCTTGATCTATGAAACCACCAGCTTTTTTTTTTTCTTGTGACGCATTTCTTGTGCTGTAGTTATACACAAATAGAGCAAATTCTAAGTATTCAGGCTGAGCTAAAATGAATATGCTATACTGCATAATAAAGGGACAACATAGTTATTTAATGTTTTCTGTTTCTACAGGTAAATATCCAGCGGAGACTATTTAACTTCAAATTTGGGAATCACAAAGTTCAGATGAACTGGGTTCACATAGGAAATCTAGTACAAGCTCACTTACTAGCTGCTGAGGCTCTCACTTCTGAGAAGCGTTATGTAGCTGTAAGTAAACACTATAAATGCTGTGTCCCAGTAGCTTTAGCTCTCTAATAGGTTAAATTTTTGATGTTTTGAGATCGAAGGTTCTCCAGAAGGTCATGTGTTAAATTCTCAGAAATGGTATGTGGCTCCACAAACACATTGTGGAGTACCACAGTGCAATAGATTCTGATAATATTTTGATGCTAATTTTTTCTCTATTAAATACATAATTTCCTCTTTGATTTGAAGAAACAGTATTTTTAACTGGATTAATATATGCACATATCTACCTATTCTGTTACTCTCCTGAAAATAGATTCTGATTCTAGATCACAGAATCACAGAATGGGTTGGGTTGGAAGGGATCTTAAAGATCATCTAGTCCAACTCCCCCCACCCTGGGCAGGGATACCTCCCACCAGAGCAGGTTGCTCCAAGCTCCGTCCAATGGCCTTGAACCCCTCCAGGGATGGGGCAGCCACATCTTCTCTGGGCAGCCTGGGCCAGCGTCTCACCACTCGCACAGCAAAGAAGTTCTTCCCCAGATCTCATCTCAATATCCCCTCTTTCAGTGTCAAACCCTTCCCCCTTGTCCTTTGGTCTCCCCTCCCTGATCACGAGTCCTTCCCGAGCTTTCCTGGAGCCCTTTTAGGGATTGGAAGGGGCTCTAAGGTCTCCTCGGAGCCTTCTCTTCTCCAGGCTGAACCCCCCCAACTCTTTCAGCCTCCCCCTCACAGTGGAGGGGCTCCAGCCCTCCCAGCATCTCCGTGGCCTCCTCTGGCCCTGCTTCAACAGGTCTGTGTCCTTCTGCTGTTGGTGGCCCCAGAGCTGGAGGCAGCACTGGGCGGGGGGGGGGTTCTCCAGAGTGGAGCAGAGGGGCAGAATCACCCCCCTTGCTCTGCTGGCCACGCTGCTGGGGATGCAGCCCAGGGTGCAGGGGGCTTTCTGGGCTGCCAGCAGACATTGCTGCCTCCTGTTGAGCTTCTCATGCACCAACACCCCCGAGTCCTCCTCAGGGCTGTTCTCCTGCCATTCTCAACCTATATTTTGGGTTGGGATTGCCCTGACCCATGTGCAGGACCTTGCACTTGGCCTGGTTGAACTTCATGAGATTCCCCCGGGCCTACCTCTCCAGCCTGTCCAGGTCCTTCTGGATGCCATCCCTTCCCTCCAGAGTGTTGACAGCTCCGCACAGCTTGGTGTCATCAGCAAACTTACTGAGGATGCATTCTGTCCCACTGTCCATGTCGCTGACAAAGATGTTGAACAGCACTGGTCCCAGTACTGACCCCTGAGGAACGGCACTCGTCACTGGTTGCCACGTGGACATGGAGCTGTTGACCACCACTTTTTGAGTGTGACCATCCAGCCAGTTCCTTATCCGCCAAGTTGTCCAACCATGCTATCCTACATCCAACCAATGTAATGCAACCATGCCATCCTACGTACCGTGTTTTTCTAATTGTTTTTCTCTGCTACTTTAACAGAGTGGTCAAGCGTATTACATCCATGATGGTGAAAACGTGGTATTTTCTGAATGGATCGTCCCTTTGGTATGTACTGCGTGCACGTTTAGCTCTAATGCACTGTACGGACCCTAATCATACCAGTAACTAAAAGACCATACTAAGTAAGTGAAATTCAGTGCACATTCATTACTGAATTATTTAACATTGAAGTCAGTTCCTGCATTATGTTCTTTCTCCCTGCATTTCCCAAAGTTCTGCTGGCATTAAGGGAAGTTCTGGGTATGTGTAACTACTCTTATTGTTTTGAGAGAATTTAGCTGAGAGGTTCAGAACCTGCCACAGAACAGAAGCATTTCTATAAAGCAAGCTTTATAGCTTGCACAAGAAGTGCACAAGAAGTTCTGCTGTTAGTGTCTGGCAGAGCTTTTAATTTCTTTGTTCTGCCATCAACTGCAGCGCAAAAGGGAAGGCCTTTTAGAATCGTATCTTAAGAGCTAAAGAGGGAACTTTGTATTTTAATAAATGTCAGGCTGGGATTTTAGGAACATGCTAAAGATTTGATACTGCAATGCCAACACTGGAAAGACTTTCAGGAAACTGACTGTAGTGGAATGATGGGCCTGTATCTAAGTGTAGTTGAGATCCAGTCTTGGTCACTTGCCCTTTCCATGCAGTAGCATTTTTCCACTTTCATGCTTTATTGACACCCTCAATTTGATACAAATTCTGTTATTCTTTCCCTTCGTACCCCTTCTAGTTTGAAAAATTAGGCTACAGGAAACCCTGGATACATATTCCTGTTCTTCTGGTTCATATAGCAGGTAAAAATAATAAAATACATACTTAATTATTGCACTGTTTTGTTTTGGTTTAATTTGTTTTCTGTTCCTATAAAGCTACGTAATGGTTTTATAAAATTCAGGGAGCCAAACTGTAGGAGTTACATAACATTATTCTAATTAATCTAACAGTTGTTTATGCTATTTGGCATTAATTACACCAGATAAACTTTGAAGGCTATTCATAAACTGAGTCTATCATGTACTTTATGAATTAAACACTGCTTTCTACCATCTTAATTGCATCCTCGGATGTCAGTGGGAATTACAGGATGTGCAATGTCAGTATTATCTCAGGTTATTGTTATCCAGCTGTCTCATTAAGTCACTTTCTGTTTCACAGCCACTGTGATGGAATATCTGCACCTGATACTAAAGCCAGTTTTCAGCTTTACACCTTTCTTGACAAGGAATGAGGTAAATATATAGAAAGAGGGGATGATTATGTATTTCTGACCAAAATTCTCATTATGTGATATACCCTTTGGATGCAGACAGGAGTGTCTGCATTAGAGCTCTGTTTTCTGCTCAGGGCATAGTCCATTCAGGGCTTACGCAGTCATTTTGTAGCCTGATTTTTCTGTGCCATCCTGGCCATCCTTTATAAAATCATCAGAAATTAAACCTTAATTGAAGATTAGATGATCCAGAGAAACATCCTAGAGGTGCAAGACAGAATGACTGATGTGGAGCTGGCGCAGAGGAAAACAAGCCCTTCGTCCTTTCCAGCAAGCTGCCCTAAAGGAAGGTGGTCCAAGAGTACAGAGCAAGGGCCTTGGGTGAAAGTGGAAGCAGTTATCATTATACCAGGCTGGCCAATAATTAGAAAGTCTGCTGAAAATTATTCTAAATTGGAATGAAAGGTCAATTTTCTGCAAAAAAAACCCCTACCTTCTGGACAAATTCATGTTGATATAACTTAACTTATGGTTTTGTACAGTATTATAATTTATAATATAAGCCAAAATGCTTTAACTAGTCTATCACCTAGTCTCTTACTGTATTGCAGCGTGTAACATAATAGGACACTGAAGGTACTGAATGGACCTCATTAACTTCTGCTGTAGCTTTTCAGTTATTCCGCAATTTATCTGTTTTTATGCTTACATCTACATTAGTTCTACCTCTAAAGCAGAAATCAGAAATCATTGCTTAAGCATTTCCCCAGGTAACGTGCAGTCAGGGCTGGAGGATATAACTCTCCAAAAGTGCTGTTTTTCATTCCTTTCTGCAAAGTTGAGAGGCCACAGCTCGCTCCTCCAGCACATCCATCCAGTTCACTGCGCATTCCTCTGTTCGGAGCCAGTCTGAGGGAAGGTTGCTGGTCTGGTGTATGGGGTTTCATTAGTTCATTATCTGACATTCACAAGGGAGAAATCAGTGTCATAAACTCCTCGTGCACCCAGTCCCCCAAGCTCTGGGTCTTTACCTGTCAGCTACATCAGCTCATTCTGTGAGCTCTGGAGAGCATCCAACTCCCAAGATTTATATAGTTTTGTGTGTCTATCTTTATTCATGTTTTAAATTCCATTGTACTATCATAGTTGATGTATTTTCATGCAAGGTCTAGAAAATAAGATATTAAAGTCACTTTCATAACTGTCCTTTGGATTTTAGGTGTGGAATGTTACTGTAACTCACACTTTCCGAATAGACAAAGCACGAAATCAACTTGGTTACAAACCAAAGAAATTCTCATTCGCTGATTCTGTGGATCACTATCTGAAAACAAGACCTACTTGCCAAAAGGATCACACATTCCTTAAAATGGTGGTTGCTTTCAGCATTTTGCTAAGTTTGATCATTCTTTCCTTCTTCTAAAGTCAAATAACTACCCACCTGTACCAGAAGACCTAATTTTGTTTCTGAGTATTAATGATCTGGTCATAGTACATTCCTCAGCCACTCTGGACTCTATTCGTACTGTTATGATGACATTTCTCTATCTCAAAAACACACAACCCCCCCCAAAACAATCAAAAAAACCTGCCACAAAAGTGAAAACACAGGATACATCAGGAAATGTTCCCAAAGGACAATGCAGTGTCACAAAATCAAAGGAGCTTATCACTAACATGTGCAGGAATGGTTTCAATGGATCTTCATTAATGGATTGCTTCATGCTGAGAATTATTTTCTAAAAATGATAATTCAGGAGGGAGGGCAAGAAATTGGAAGAAGAGGAATCATTGTAGTATAACCAGTGCTATAAAAAGTCCAGCAGCTCCAAGGAAGAAAGGGTTGACTAAATAATTCCTCTGATGACACCACTGCTACAGCTGCTGTGTGTTAGTATGAGGAATTATGAAGCCCTGGGAAACAGTAAAACAAAATATGAAAGTAAATATATATAAATAACAGGTGGTGAGAAAACTGGAAGTAATTTTTATGTAAAATAGTTTTAATGTTCAAAAGCTTTGTAAAAATGTAATAAATAACATTATGTGTGTTTGTAAGTCAAATAATATCCTTTCAATACAATAATAAATAATATCTGAAGCAAATACTGTTTTTAAGGAGCCTGTGGGAAGGGGGAGGGAGGGCACAGAAGACCCTGGAGTCCAGCAGGCTGTTGGTGCTGCCTTACCACATAGGGGAAGCCGAGTCACGCTACCGGTGACCCTGTTCCAGGGCTGGCTCGCTGCTTGCTCTGCATGTTGCCATTTTGGGGTGCCAAGCACCAAGACTTCTCGCTTTTCCCCTATCTCAACACTTAAATTAGTTGCTTCTGAGTGGATTGTGCAACCTGAGCCACACACGCTACACGTGTGCTACCTGCATGCATGGCATGTGTAGCCAGCTGAATTTCCATAACGTTTCTAGGGCGAGGATTTCCTCAGGGACCGACTTTGCCCTCACCGGGGAGCAGCTCCCTCTCCTGTACCCCACACAGATCCGGGGAGATGGACTTGCTAGAGTGGGTCGTGGAACGAGTGCCGGAAAAGCTCTGCCATCTGATTATCTCCACTCTGTATTTGTCTATTTGCATTTTGCCTTTGTGTTAGCATTTTACAGAATTTTTTAAGACTAGTAAGTTTATGGGGGCTCTCTCACTGTATGTTTAAATTTACAGGGTGCACAGGACAGCTTACAGCAATCCTACAAGAATAGAACTTCATATGTAAAGGACAGGATACAGTGACAGCAAAATGTGTGAGCAACCACAACTACCACTGCAGCTTATGCGAGCAAAGAATTGTTTCGCTCCAATTATTTTTTTTATTTTCTTTAAACAAATAGTTCTATGTGCAGTGAAAGCAGTAAAGCCTGCTCTCACAGATTTGCATTTGGAGCTTGTCCTCATCCATTACAAATTGAGCTCACGCTACAGATCTTCCCTTAGCACTGCACAGCCCTCTCTCCTACTCCTGGGTGCCCATTGTCAGGAAACTGAAAGAAACTCAGTATACGCGAGACTCTGTCCGAGTTTGATTACAACCAGTTCTGTTCACAATTCAGCGACGTGGAGGTGCGGTTGACGGACAGACCAGATCGGCAAGCGCTGCAGTAGGTACTGTGTAAGCCTTGTTTCCCTAGAAATGCAGAATAGAGAACCACAAGTATACTGTTACTTCCCAGTGTCAGCATTTTAACTGTATGCAAACGTTTAATTTGCTTTTAAATTAGTTATTTATGAGTCTTTCATATGTGGCTTTTATTAGACTGATAGCTCAGGACTACATTCCGGATTGCACCAACACTTTTCAGGAGCAGCGTCGGGCAGTCACCCACAGCCCGGTGAGAAGTGCAGGCTGTGGCCTTTTTTTGGATGCTTCTCAGCAAGGACGAACTGAGGAATTTGCTGGGTTTGTGGCTGCAAGTCCCTGTGGAGCCCCACCATTCCAGTCCTGTAATGCCATACCTCTGATTTGTTGTTTCAGGTAAGATGCCTTTTACATCACTGTTAGTACTGATCAATACTAACTGGCTTTGATCAATTGATTTGTCAATACTGCAAATCCAGTATTTGAAGTTTTAAGACAACTATTAGCACCAGTTTGGGGTAGCCAGCTGTCTCCTTTCTGTCAGTCCTTACCGAGTCTTAGTTTAAGCCGGCTATTTGAGTTACTTTTGCTCTAACATAATTGCAAGTGTGTCTTTAAATGATTAAAATTTAATATGAATATTCAGACATGGCACAGCTATAACAGAAGAGGTAAACGTGTTCAAAGGTTAATTTTTGCATGGAAAGGGTAACTCTGAAATTCTGCCGCTCCTGACCTTTTTCACATCCTCCCAGGCAAGAGCATCCACAGAACAGAACAGAACAGAGACTGTCTGCCGGCTCAGGAGGCCAGGGATTTTAGTGCCTATTTTTTTATGATTATGTTTCCTCTTTGGGGATTCCTGCTGTTTTGCTCTGCATCTCTCTGAGCCGTGTCCCACCACCACTATCCCAACTGGTAATCAAGAGATGGTCTGTTTTTCCTGAACAGCCTGTTCAACAGGTACCTCAGTGTGGAGGGAGCCCCAACCATCGACAGGATGCACTTGTGCAGAGCTCCTAGCTATGTGAAGACACACGGAGGTAAGAGCCACGGTAGGATGCTGTGAGATGCCAAGGGATGCTGTGGGAATCCAGGAACGCCATGGGATGCTGTGGGGTCCCAAATACGCTGTGGGATGAGCCGAATCCGAGGCATGCTGTGGGATATGCAATATCCCAGGAGGACTGTGGGATTCCAAAGATGCCGCAAGATGAGTGAGACCCTGGGAGAGCTGCGGTGGGATGCCAGAGATGCTGCGGGACGAGTGAGAGACCCCAGGGATGCTCCGGGACTCCAAGGAGCCCGGTGCAGCCCACGTAAGGAGGAAGCGGCGGGGCGGGGGCGGCGGCGGGGAGCGCCCGGCCGGGACAGGTCTCCGGCGGTGAGGCCCCGGGGGCGGCGGGGGTCGCGGAGCGGCGGGCTCC